AAAAAATCACATATTGGGACAGATTTTTGGGGTCCCGCAAAAGAGGCTATCTCCCACGCAGTTTGGCCCACCGACGGCAAGTCATAAGTCGACCATTTTTCAACCGTATTAGGCAAGTTTATGGGCGATGTCGACTAAACTCCATGCGAAGCTTCATTGCACTACAACGGTGTCGTTGGTTCATGAAAGAATCACAAACAGCCATGTTACCGGCATGTTGGGGTCTGGAGAGAATCTACCTACTTATTAGCCGGAAACACCGACCGTGCTGCCCCGAAGAGAGATTTTTTATCATCGCAGCGCGGCCTTGTGCCAGCTGAACTGGGTGATAAAACACTGTTGATTCATGCACCGAGAACGCGAACATGCCAACATGCATGGACCGGTTTGCTGAGGGTCACACCGCGGCCGCTGCGTGTGCGGCGAGAACCTCCGGAGGGTCGGCCACGCTGATGTCGCTCGTGGGTGCATCAGTCACCGGGGGTGGCTGCTCGTGAGGCTCCAGCAGCGTGACGTGTTGCCCCTTCGTTAGCGTGGAGAACATAGCCACGGCCTGTGCGTCCATTGCAGCATCCTCCTGGTCGCACTCTGCAACCCGCCGCTCCATGTGTCTCCTCCGCTGCTCTGATTTGCGATCGCGCCTGACGTACGCAAACGTCCGGCGCCCGAGTCCGGCGTTACGCAACCTTCTGCAGCGTAGGCGCATCAGGATTCTGGCCTCCTGCTGCAACCCCCTCAAAGTTCTGGCGCGTTCCGCTTGTTTTTGGATGGCACTCTTCTTGGCGACTTCCCAGTTCGGCATCGTGCCTGAACACCGGTGGGGGGTAATTTTAACGGAGGACAGACCGGAACATACGGCGATAGTATGGCCGTTAAATAAACTGTGCGATAGAGCTTGGATACAAGGACTGTGTCTTGGTAGAAAAAAACAAAGAGCGCCTGCAAGAGGACTGTTACTCAAATTGAAGAATAACCCGTGAATGTCAATCCTTGTACTCTGCAAAACACACAGCCTCCCGTCGTGCAATACGGCAGCCCCTCTAAGCCAATGTTGGTGTCTGTGTCTATCTGTGGGTGCAATATGCCCTTGTGTCGGTTGCTGCTGGACGCGACCTGTAAGAGTTGGGCACCTTGTTTTTGAGACGGGTTGCATGTATACAAGTTCGGGCCTGACTTGTACACAATGTTTTCTTGTACAATTGCGTGCTGCTGCTGTATAACCTGGTGCGTTCTATAAAAAAGACAGTTTGTAAACACAAGTTCGGATCTGGCGTGAATAACCACTTTGTACTTCTTGTATGTACACTTGCGTGCTGCTGAGCACTGCTGTGTTCTATTAGAAGACCAAATTAGAGATGGGTTGTACAATACACTATACTATTTTGTATGCACATCAATACAAGTAGTAATGCACTTGTTGCATGCTGTACAACTCGTCTACTAGAGCAGTAGACGACAGTTGTGTTCAAGATTGTCCGATGCAAACAACGGGATTCGTGTCAAGGTCCTCCAGTACAAACATATGGATGCTGTTGTACTGCAACTTGCCGTTTTTTCACACAGCTACACTTGTCATGGAAAACACGCACCAACCATACGCATGAACGCCGGCTAGTGTTGTTGCACATGTCACCACCGTGCTAGCAACGCGCCCGCCTGGTTGCTGCTTTTCTGCATGTTTCAACCCACCAAGGAGTACACACCCTGCCGCTTTGCTACGTGCAGCAAGATCCGCTCAGCAATCGTAGACTCACCGTGCTTGGGCGACAAGCTCCGCCTTCGCATGGGCTTCTCCAGCTCACTTGTCCAGTTGTCCGCGTCTCCGAGCGCTTCCGCCTTCGTCTCATACTTGAAGGCGGTGTTCTTGCGAATGCCCGTGGCATGTGGCTGTGGGTGATACATGCATCTGAGCCTCCAACGCTTCGTGTTGCTGCACTGCATTGCGCAAACTTGCGATACTTTGCGTTTGTGGGTGTCAACGTTGGGATCCACACTTTGTAGTGGCTCCATTGTGGAGGGTCTCCTTGCGTACGAGACGCGTGTGCAGAGGTACTCAGCTGGTTGTACAGCAGCACCGGTGCAGCAGGAGCTGCGACAACGGGTGAGATTTTCAAAAATAATGCGGCGTAATTATGTTTGTTGTCCCCGTTTTGGGAAAAGCCTGCATATCATCGAAATATTTGGAGGCTCCTCATTGGCTGAGGCACGTAATAGCCCATATCTTCCCAGCGAATCCTTCAATCGAATTCCGGCCACGAGGATTTGTTCCTTTGCTCGTGGGGGTCACTATAATACTGCGTTTGTCAACATTATGTACAAAATTCGTCTGGCAGGAGTGGTTGAAT